AGACCTATGGTCCATGAAGGTATCTACCTTTTGCTTTATAGTTGTGTAGCCTATATATTGTTTCCATGTTACTTTCAAAGGAATCAAATTGCTACAGTTGGAATATAGTACTGAATGGTGGTGGTGGTGAGATATGGTTATTTCATTTGGAATACTGTGTGCAGTTCTGGTCACCACACCTTAAAAAGGATATTATAGCTTTAGAAAAAGTGCAGAAAAGGGCAACTCGAATGATAAAAGGGTTGGAACACTTTCCCTATGAGGAAAGGTTAAGGCGCTTAGGGCTCTTTAGCTTGGAGAAACGACGACTGAGGGGTGACATGATTGAGGTTTATAAGATTATGCATGGGAAAGAGCAGGTCGAGAAAGAGGTGCTTTTCTCCCTTTCTCACAATACAGAACTCGTGGGCACTCCATGAAATTGCTGAGCGGTCGGGTTAGAACGGGTAAAAGGAAGTACTTCTTCACCCAAAGAGTGATTAACACTTGGAATTCACTGCCACAGGAAGTGGTGGCAGCTACAAGCATGGACGGCTTCAAAAGGGAATTAGATAAGCATATGGAGCAGAGATCCATCAGTGGCTATTAGCCACAAGGTATAGATAGGGACTCTGGGGCAAGTGATGCTCTGTCATCTTGGTGCTTGGGGGGGGGGGTCAACAATGGGAGGGCTTCTAATGTCCTGGCCCCACTGGTGGACCTCCTGATGGCACTGGTATTTCTGGCCACTTTGTGATACAGAGTGTTGGATTGGATGGGCCTTTGGCCTGATCCAACATTGGCATCTCTTATGTTCTTATGGATTGCATAACTGACTGCTTGATGTTTCTAAAGCAGATGATGGATTATGCAGTATTCAAATGTTTTGTGAAAGCAAAAGTTGAGTTGGCATTTGAGTGATTTGTGAATGCAACATGAAAAGCACAAACACATCCTTTGCGTCTTTAGACTTTGGGAGGGAGCGGGTGTTGCACACTTCTTGCCCAAATCAAGCATCGCTAAATATGCTTATTATGTGTTGCATTTCAGTAACTTGTAATGCAATCTATGTTTCTGATGCGATAGAGAGTATTTTTAATGAGATTTTTTATAAATATCATCCCGTGCTTTTTGCCAAAGCTCTGGGAGGGCCTCCAGTTGCTTCAGAGATTAACGTACCATGTGTCGAGCAAAGGGGTTTTAATTGCCTGTACCATGTCATCGATGACAAAATGACATTTCCCCCCACTGTTTTGCTCTTTGTCTAGTGATCCTGCCAGCCTCAAGCATTGATGAGAGCACGAACTGTGGAGGTAAAGTACAACTAACTATAGATCTTATTTTTATCTTAACGTGACTTCTCTTTTCTGGGCAGCTTCAACCCAACCATTAATCCATGCAGTTCACATCCCGTTGATAGCCTTGTTTCCACTAGAGTCTCATTGTCTGAGTCAGGGATAGGGGGATATTTGCTGCTCAGGTTTCTGGTTTAAGAATTTAATGTTGGGGAGGGAAGTTGTCAGAATAATTAAATAGTAGAGAAATCACAGTGCATTGCACTTCCTTTTAAACGGACCTGAAAAATCAGAGATACGTTCCTTATTTTCCTAGTTTTGAGAGCTCAGTTAACTCTTGCATTGCTATCACATTCCGCCTAAAGCAAAATTTTGAGACAAATTTGTTCAGGCAAGTCTTCCAAGGAACTGGAGGGAGCAGGAAAAGGGAAACAAAGAAATTGCATCTGATCAAGCAAGCTTTGACTCACGAAAGTTCATGCTAGAATAGATTTTGTTAGCCTTTAAGGTGCCATTAAATTCCTGTTTTCTTCAAAAGATGTTTTGGTAAGGCTAGCAACATTTTTGAGGGTACTAATTAATTTTGCAAAGGTTGTCGCTTCCTTAGCACTTGGGAACCTGATGGTTTTAGTATTCTTCACATCCATTTTCTACAGTGTTCCACAAGCAGAGGTTGGTATCTAAACTGTGGATGGCAATAATAAAAGGCCAACTTGCATTATTTACATATTTTAAGCAATATAACTTGGCACAAGCACATCTGGCACAATAGAAATATGCTGAATCTTTAGCCCTCTCTTTTAGTGGACCAAACACTTGGCCACTGATATCAGTAGAAGCAGAATGAGGCTGTGCAAGATATAGTTTCCATCAGGGCTTTTTTTGTAGAAAAAGCCCAGCAGGAACTCATTAGCATAATAAACCACACCCAACAGCAGGAACGTATTTGCATATTAGGCAACACCCCCCCCCATGCGTTCCCTTGGCTTGCCCGGGTGCCCCGCGACTGTGGGGAGCCCAGGCAAGCCAGCCCTTGGACAGGTCAGGGAAGGCATGGGGAGGCATTTAAATGCCTCCCCGATCCTTCCATAACCCCCCTGGCCCACCTGCCTCAGAGTCGCTGTGGGGAGGGGGTCGCTCTCCAGGCCTTCTCTCTGTAGACATTCACACAGAGGTTTTGGCTGTAGTGGGCGTGGCCAACTCTGAAGCCAGCCGGAACTCCGTTCTTGTGCGTTCCTGCCCCAAAATAGCCCTGGTTTCCATTAAATGGTCATCATATCAGTTATTTGTTTCCTGTTCAGGGAACTGCAGCTTCCATATTATTAGAACATGGAGGAACCAATCCTAGCACTTCCTGCTGTATCGCACCCTGGAGTCTTTTGATGGGACAGACTGGAAATTTGCCCTGTAGCAAAACCACCTGGAAATACGGACTGCAACTTTTCTCTTTAAATGTTCAGTCTCTATGGAAGTTGATTTTTTGACATACAGGTTACTTTTGGACAGTAGAAATTTTGGCCAAGCTAGCTAACAAAGAACTTGTTTTGGTCATTTGTTTTAGAGAGCCAGTTTGGTGTAGTGGTTAAGTGCGCGGACTCTAATCTGGGAGAACCGGGTTTGATTCCCCACTCCTCTACTTGCACCTGCTGATGTGACCTTGGGTCAGTCACAAGCTCTGGCACAGCTGTCCTTAAAAAAGAGCAGTTTGTGTCAGAGTTCTCTCAGCCCCACCCACCTCACAGGGTGTCTGTTGTGGGGAGGGGAAGGGAAAGGAGTTTGTAAGCCGCTCTGAGACTCCAAGTGAAGGGCGGGGTATAAATCCAATCTCTTCTTCTCTTCTTCTTCATTTGAAATGTCCTACCAGTTAATTCATATTTACACAACAGACTTAAGTTAATTTAAGATTCATTTCCTTACCCTGGAAACTCTGGTTCAGCAAGGAAGGACAGCACTGGGCATTGCTAACAGAGAATGTACTGCATCCTCACCAAAGTGCAATTTGGATTCTTTGAGGGAATTCATGTCCATAAACCAATGTAAAGAATTTCTCAGAAACATGCTGTTGGCCCTAAGGTTGAATCGGTGATGCATTGTGGAGCAAAACCTAATTGTGATGCAAAACGCTTCCCTAGTACTAAGATTTCCATAAGAAAATGTCTTGCTTCTCCCTTGGAGGTTATATGTACATTACAGATTTAAATGGGTTTAACAGTCATTTCCTCTCACCAGGGAGTCCTGGGAACTATATTTTTGTTCTGGGGGGGGTAGCAGTGATACAGTTCTGCAGCAGATAATTCTTAGAGCTCTCACCAAACTCGCATCCTCAAAATCCGCTGTGGAGTAGAGACGGCTAGATTTTCCCCCAGTTTTCCCAGTTTTCTCCCAACCAGCTGCTCAGGACCA